TATTCATTTGTATTGGTCCTAATCTTTCAATTACATAGCTTAATTTTATTTTCAAGGTTGGAGACAGCTCAGTTTAGCTTATTGATGTCTGACTACTGAAATTTGTTACAAAACTCTCCTAGAGACACATGGATTCATCTAAACAGAAAATTTATTAACAAACTTTTTTTAAAGAGACTGGTTGTACTGAAAGAATATAGAAGGCAAGAATCTGGGGGAAAATTTATCCTCATCCCTGAAGCACTCACTGCAAATAGCATAATAAACTCTAACATTCTTGTATTATCTGAGCTGCCTGAAATATCTGAAATTGTTTCCCTCTTTTCCTAACCCTTAACCTAGGAAATACAAAGTTCTTATTACTGAATTGGGAAGGTAAGGGATTTAGGATAGTGAGACAGACTAGTGAGTTTTCAAAATCACATGGTAACCTATTATTATCCAAAGACTATCTACATAATAGTATAACTTCTATACAGAGTTAAAATGAAAACTCTCCTCCAAGGTTGAATTCCTACACAGTTGAGCATGCCAGAATACTGAACTTTAGTTGTTTTTAATAGACAAAATAAAATCATTTCAAATTTGTTGACCTGAAAAAGCAGGGAAAGGATTCCCCAAACCAGTAGGCTTTCTAATTCAGACTATTTTCCTTTCTCATTAAGTGGCAACATCTTCCACAAGGTGCAGAGAGCCACAGGCATAGGAATAATTCTGAATTTCTGGTAGATGGGGCCAGTGGTCTGTGGTTTAGGGAAGAACATTTGGTCTGGAAATGCTCTATATTGGGATAATTTTAAAGGGGAGATATCTGAACTGAAAATTTCTAAGGTGCTGCCACAATTTGGACTGAACTGTTCTCATGTTAATTCATCAATGCACATCAATAATTTTGGATTGTGAATTTATGATGATAAATCAAATAGCATTTCCTCCTCTTTCTACTGCTCTCCTTCCTTACCCTTCCTCTTCCTCCTCATATACTTATTCTCCAGTTCTCTTTGCTGTTTAGGGCATAGTTAGTTTGAACTAGAATTTATATGATTGCTATAATCATGACATTTGTGGATATTAGGTAGAGCACATAAAGATATAAACAATATCCTTAATACCAAGCTCTCAAGAGTATTGGAATCCACCATAAATCTTTGCAGTGCTATTGGTTGCTTTTCATATAGTATGCATTATGACAATAAGAATGTGTATGGTTCTTGATTTAGGAGGAAATTATAAACACTGTTCAGTGAAAGGAGGTTTAACCAAAACACTTTATTAAAAACATATCCTTTTGTTGGACTTGAGACATTAATTGACTTATTCCCATGATGCTAATGGGCATCACAGTTCATTATAATTTCCTAAGGTCATGCAAGACAGACCAATATATGTGTTCACTTTATTATCTGCAAGCCCTTAGAAAAGCCAGTTACTAAGGAAAGGTCACTTTGCAATGAAAACTTTTTGCAAAAACCAAGGGCCCTGCTAAAAAGAGACTAAATTGCAACTGCTGATCACGAATTACAAAATGTTTCAAAAAAAAAAAAAACATTTATCTTAGTCTTTTTCTCATCAAAAAGTTTTCTCTCTATTTTTTACACAACTTTATTTTTCGTGGATGAGAAGTCCGCATTTTATAATGGAATTTAGTGGGAAACTTGGTTTGGCTAAGATGTACTTATTTATAAGACAGGACAGATGTACCAATACTCCATAGCAAAGGTACTATTTCTGCCACTACAAGTGAAACAAAATAAAGATACCCTAAAGTTATGTGTATATTCTGCATATGTCTTAGCCCAAAACTATACTGTTAATGAAATAGGTTTCTCTGTATTTAGTTAATGGGGAGCTTTCCAATAGTTTAAGTTGATGGGAAACCAATACTAGTGTTTTTTTCCCAGTCTTTCTCCAGGCTGAGAAAGCTAATCAACCAGGTTGAGAGGTTACTAAGTAACATACTTTAGGTTTGAAAAAGCATTTCAAAAGATAAGATCATTCCTGATTTTTTAATTATTTTCTTTATTTAAACTATAGAGCTCAGTTGAAAATTATGATAGCAGACATGTTTTTAGTAAGAAAGGTACCTATTTTGCCATCAAAAATTTTCTTTATGAAGGAAAAGATTACTTAGCTATGGGATTGAAACAATTATATGTAAAAATAAATATATGGTCACTGAGGGTAATACAGTTGCAACTGCTGCATAGCACACACACATACTCAAGTTACCTAAATACTGTGTATGATGTATTCATTGCAAATTATTCCTAAATTATAGGATAATGATAGCCCATTCCTTAATTGTTGAGTTAGCTTAATTGCTGAAAGGTGGAACATTACATATTTCACCCTTCAATATGAAAAAGATATAAATATGTGTTAAGTTTTGCTCTAACTAAAAACAATACAAATTTTAAAATTGGGATATCATAAAAGTAAGCATCACTCTCCCTGAATAAAATATACAACAAATTATAAGCCCAATATTTTTTCTACACATGTAACTGAGCTAATAATTCTGCTTTAAAAAATAAAAATACATTTCAGTTATTATTTTAGCATAGTTCTTAAAAGACAATATTATTGATGCTAGAATATCCATATATAAAATTAAGCTTGTCTTTTAAAGAGATGTTTATTTACAAGGGCTTTAAATCTCATAAATTTATTCACAAGATTGGCTAAGAAGGCTCCTTCTCTCCTCCAACTGAAGCCACTTTAACTCAACAAGAAAGGCAAGGACACCGTTCCTGCATTTGAGGTGCCTTCCATAGATAAAGACAAGGGTTACATGCTTGGAAAAACTGAAAAACACCCTCATGTATTATGGGTGAGTAGATAAATTGATTTAAAATAACAATGGGAATGTTGAAAGGGTAGACATTGAAAGAAAATCCATCAAGAAATGAGTGTTGAACTTTCAAATGGTATGGAATTTAGCTTGGTAACAAATTAAGTATACTTCATGGGAAATTTCCTTAGAGACCTAAACTTTTTGGCTTTTAAAAAATATTTAAATAATTTTAAAATGTAAACACAATTTTATGAAAAGCAACATTACCCCAATTAGCAAAGTGTCTTCTAAGAAAGTCACCCTGATAATAGAGTGTCTGGAGGCTGTAAGGCTAGGCCCCTTTGACTCTACATGGGTCAGTGGGAGAGAGGGAAGAACAGCTCTGTCCCAGGAATGGGCCTGCAGAGTTGAAGGCAGAGGCCAGCAAACACCACAACACTTGCATGGATCCTGGCAATTTGCCTTGGGAGAGGTGGAAGTAAGTTGTTCCTTTGTAGAATAAAAGCTCGGAGACACACGGGGCAGGGTATCCGCAAAGTGGCACCCACTCCCAGATCAGGCCCATTGTCAGGAGCACCGTGGCTGCAGGTGAAATGCAGGATGCTCCTCTTTATTAATAGGATAAGTTGCTGCCCTATTTAAGAGCTCTTCTATTTCTAAATATATTGCCACTAGAGAGTTTTATATAAGATTGGTGACTAAGGAAACCCTCCTGTCAGACAGAGGTGACATGTGCCTCACTTCAGCTCTGCAGCAATTGGGAAAGAGGGCAGTACTAAACCCAGAGGCTGGAAATGGAGTCAGGAACCTGATGGAAAGGGCCTTGACACTGTACCAAGGAGACTCTGCTTTACTTTGAGACAGTGGAGAACCACGAGAGCAGGGCACCATCAAGTGCGTATAGAGGTTCTACCAGATGTAAAATATTTCTAGAAGGGGGACTTTTTATTCACTTCTGCAAAGTGGCTTAACTACTAAAACAGACCAACAGAAAAATAAAAGGCCACATAGTTTGTATGTTCCTGAATAAAATAGAAGGAGTTCCTTTCCTTTCTCCTTTGAGTAGGAGTGTGGATGGGGTGGGCACAGCAAAGGCCCACAGCTAAAGGGGGATGCTCTTTCTGGAGAGCAGCAGGCCAATCCTGTGGGTGGAGAGATAAGAAGTGGGGCAAACACTGTCAAAGGCTCTATCAGACTGGCCCACCTTGAAGGCCACTGTGAAAGTTCCCCATCCGTGCATTCCTCAGCTAGGTTTCACTATGTTTTGTGACTCTAAGAACCAATATGGGCACTGAAGATAACAAGAATTGGTATTGACTTATGACTGACTAAGCAGAGGATAGCATCTAGATGAAAAGACCAGGGAAAGGACAAATGGTATGAAGGTCTTGCAAAGCCAGTGATGCTAAGAGCCTGGTCCTGAATGGCAGCTGAAGGGATGGACAAGAGGCAAGAACTCTCAGAACTATTTTGATAGGACTTGGGACACTGATAGTGAGTACTAAAGGAGAAAAATGGGTCAAGAATGACTCTAACGCTTCTGATCCAGGCAACTGGAATTTAAGCAAGCTTTTGAGAGAGGATAATGAATTTGGTTTAGGTCACATGAAGAACCTTCTTTAGAGAAGAGTTCTCTAAAGAAGAGAACTTTAAATCTCTTATAACCAAGACAATGTATATTTATTACAAAAACAAATATATAAAGGAACACTTTGAAATACAATTAAATTTATTTATTGAAATAACATAAACAGTGGGTATACAGATTGTTTTCAGCATAACATAGGTATCACACATTTCTCCTGTTAAGAGATAATAGATAGATAGATAAGCAGAAGAAACACAATAATAGAATAATCTAGAATAATTAATTTTACTACTGGGAGTCTGTATAGATCAGCAAACACAACCCCATTAACTGGTGAGGAAACTAAGAACTAGAGAGGCTGGCATTCTCTACTGTACAAATTTTTAGGGCACTGACCATGTGCCAGGCACTTACTTGGTGCTGGACATATAAAAGTAAACAGAACATAGTTCCTGTACTGAAGGAGCTCCTAGCCAAGCTAGTGTGTGACAGTGTCCAGTAAGCAGGAAATTAACACACAGCCTAAGTAATATGGAAAACAGCATGCTTAAGCTGCAAGGTGCACCCAATCCAGGCTTAGGAGTTCTCCGAAGGTCTTGTGTGAGCTGATCTAAAAAGGATGAGCAGAAATAAGTAGACAAAGAGATTACACTCCAGCAAGGCCAAGGTGAGGGAAAGCGTGGGGGCATTTAGTTAGTCAAAGGCATTAGTGTACAGGGAAATTCTAGGCCTGGATTTTGGAGACAAGTCTTCTGACTCCCAGTTCAATGCTATTTTTAGAATACTACTAGTCTCCGTAGGTCTCTTGACAAGTATGTGATGATTTAGCACAAGTATCAATTCACTTGCACAGAAAAAAGGAAGCATACATGGCTCATGCTTACCCAGTGGTAAACATTAAAGATTTTCAAACTCTCTTGTTTAAAATTTACTCCCATTAGAGTAATAATTACTTTGTATTATAGCCTTTCATTTCCTTCCAAAATGTTTATATCAATTGGCTCATGCCATAAACTCATAAGTTTGGAAGAGATTTTAAGGCACCACTTTTTCAGTAGCCTAGGGAGCATGGGGTGGGCACAAGGAGACCAGTCAGCCCCTTGGTGGAGGCAATAAAGGGGTCATTATCTGCAAAGAACTTAAAAATTAATAGTAAAACTGACCAAAACTGTTCCACTTTTTATTATCACCACATGCCAGGAATCTGATGGTTCTCAGCAATGTCAGTAATAAAAAATTCTTCTCTGTAAAGGCAAAGTGCTCCTGCTGTCAGCCCAGCATAAGCCGCTACCCTTCATATATACCCACACACATAAAAAGCATGGCACCCAGATATGCTATGTAAGTCCCCATGTTCATCTCTCCAGTTCATATTACCACAGCCTCTCCGTCCTATTCTCTTTTGTAAACATAGGTTAAGTAGTTAACATCATATGTACTAAAAAAAAAAAAAAAAAAAAATCAATGTCTATCTTCAAAGAAGATTCTCATCTCTCAAGTCTCTAATCTGTTTTGAACTAAGGCCACCAGTGTCTGTCCGATGCTGTCACTCCTGCATTCTCAGGCTTACCAGGAGCAGTCCTCGCTCATCCTTTCCAGCCGGGCTGTCTGGCACGTGCTTGGAGGAATAAACACAGATGGGTCTGCGATGCCCAGTTGTATGTCGAAAAACCGTGTGGAAAGGACCACACTGTAATTTTTGGTGAAGGTTTCCTGGACAGGATAACAATCCTTGACTGTATAAATGCCAATCCAGGTTTCATCTGTAAAAGGAAAGAATGTTGATTCTTTAATATAGAAAACAGGCAAAATGCCTGTATTTTTCATTGTGGTAAATTATACTTAATATTTACCATTTTAACCATTTTTAAGTGCAGTTCAGTGGCATTAAGTACATTCACATTGTTGCATAACCATCACCACCACCCTCTCCAAAACTTTTTCACCTTCCCAACTGAAACTTTGTGCCCATTAAATGTTAACTCCCAATTCTGCCTCCCCCTAGGCCCTGGCAACTACCATTTTCTTTCTGTCTCTATGAATTTGACTACCCAGTACTTCAAATCAATGGAATTATACAGAATTTGTCCTTTAGTGACTGGATTATTTCATTTAGCATAGTGTCCTCAAGGTTCAACCATGTTGCAGTATGTGTCAGAATTTCCTTCTTTTTTAGGTCTTAGTAATACTCCATTATATGAATATATCACATTTTGTTTATCTATTCACCTGTTGATGGACACCTGGGTTGTTTCACCTTCTGATGACTATGAATAATTCTGCTATAAACATAAATGTTCAAACGTCTGAGTCCTTGCTTTTAATTCTTTTAGGTATATGATCAGAAGTGGAATTCCTGGGTCATATGGTAATTCTATGCTTTTTTTGTGTGTGTGAACTGTCATATTGTCTCCCAGAGCATAAAGGCCTGTGTTTTTGACACGGTCTTGGGGTAGGATATTGGCAACAGAACAGAGAAGAGCTTCATATCTATGTATGAAAGCAGACACTAAAAATAATGGCAGTAAATCTGGTCACTGTGACATTAGAAAGTGATGTGGGGAAGGAAAAGGAGGCATCCAATTCTAATGTGTGCATTAGATAAACACCTTCCATGTCACTGGTCTGGGAAGGTGGGGTGAGGGGGATCATTAAATGTCAGAGTCAAGGCTAAGTCCATAAGAGCTAATGTGGTAGAAATGTACAGATGATGCTAGAAGTCTGAGGTATTTCAAATATGATGCTTAGCTCCTGGTTCTATACAACTAGCAGAGTACCTGTGGGGATGTCATTGGGGGTTAAGCAATTCAATTACACTTAAAAATTTCCCTAACAATGATCTTCCTTAGTGGACTTAAATATTTTTTCCCATGATGCTTTCTAAGATGCAACCCTCTCATATTTTTTTAACCCTTACATGATCTAGCTGACTTTCTATCGGACCACTCCTGGACAGTGATCTGCTCCTGGGGCCCCCCTATAGAGTACTGGTCCTCAAAGGTGGAGTTCTGAGGAATGTCAAGAGGGTCCCAGGGGTCTGTCAGGGTGATCTTGGAACACTGCTTGGTGGCTTGTTCAATCTGAAACATCACTTCTTCTTTATAGAGCAAAATATATTCAAATAATCTGAAAGATAGATTAAAAGAATAATTCAGGACTTTACATGACAATCATCATGGATTTTATCAGTGCAAAGGCCAAAAGCCTTTGATATAAATTACTCTTACAAAAGAAAATACCTTGTAGGCAATCATTTGCTTATAAACACTAGACATATGAATTCAGAGTTCATAACTGAATATTCACTGGACAATTTCTTATCAAGCACCATATGCCAGACTCTGTACTTAGGACACAGACATGAGGAAGACCTGACCCTGGATTAACAGATATTTGTGACCTATCTTTAGACACAGGGATATAGGAGGATTTGACCGTTGGCTTGGTTGAGTTCTCCTTATCGCACTAAGTCAAGGAATTACATATACTGAATGTATAACAAGAACCTGCTGATGGGCCAGGCACCTCAGCCCCATTGTCTAAACTGTCATTCATGAGTAAAGAAAGGGCTTTGGTGAGAAGAAACAGCAGCATTGAGAATGGGCACTCCTCACATACTGGGAAGAGGCTGAGTTAAGCAAAGACAAGAGCTGAGGGGATCCCAAAGTAAATGGCTTCCTGTGCAGATTGTTTGTATGCTCTCTGCCTCATCGCTCATGGCCACATGCACACCCTATTCCCAGGTTGTGCTGGGAGTCAGCAGACTGCCTGTGATCACCTTACTGTGTTGTCAACCATAATGTGTAATTCTTAAATCTAAATAATTTTGAGTGAAGCCCACTCAGCTTGGGTTTCTTTTTACTTTAAATAATTTTTTAAATTTTTAAACAGTCGAAGGGAAATATGGTGGAGCAGTGAGTGGAAGTCACACTGACCTCCTCTCAGGACCAAACTGGAATTGCAACTAAATTGTGGAGAAATCCCCTGGAAAACAATGGAACGAAAGAGAGAGAGGAGCCTTGGAGCCTCGGACACACAGTGGAATTGGCTTTCGCACAACCTAATGGGTGAGAAGTGCAGTGGAGGCTCGAAAGGGTGGGCTGGGTGCCCAGGGGTGGCAGAACCAGAGGGATATTGAAATGTCCAGTTGGATCTTCCTGAGAAGAACAGGGTCTGAATCATAAGCAGGGACCTCTAGCCTACAGCACCAGAGTCAAAAAAAGCACACAGACAAAAGGTAGCTGTGAAAAGTGAAGTGGCACTCTCTGCCAGAAATAGGCAGCTGGACAAGCAAAGAAATGTTTAAAGAGCCAATGCAAAAATGTGCAGTGGCAGCCACCTACCTTGGTCTCTGGGCAGAGGCGGGGGCAGAGTGGGCTGGAGCCGCCTGAGGAGATATTGGTGAGGAAAGCTTTGGGGAGAGAACTGAGACAATGGCCAGTGGGGCTCCAGTGATGACTCACCTCCCACTCTGCAGCTTCCATCTTGCTCAAGCATAAAGGATACAATAGCCTAACCCTCAAGAGGCTCAGCCCCAGCCAGGACTTGTGCACAGGCCTGGGTGCTGAGTACAGAGCGGCCAACACAGATAGTAGATCCCTGGCTAAAGGGGACACAAAACTGCCTAGAGATGCTTGAGGAAAAACTGGGGGTGGAGGCACTGGGGAGAGAACTGAGGGAGTAGCTGGGGGATTCCTATTGCTGACTCCTTCCCCATTCTGCAGTCTCCATCTTGCGTAGGCAGACCATGCCCCAGAAAGGTAGCAACAGGAAAGGAAACAATAGCACTACCCTCAGGATGATCTGTCCGGGCCAGAAGTTGTGTGCCAGCCAGGGTGCTGAGTGCAGAGCAGCCAGCACAGATAGTAGATCTCTAGCTAAAGGGGACACAGAGCTGCCTAGAGATGCTTGAGGAGACTGGAGAAAGAAGCACTGGGGAGAGAACTGAGAGACTAGCCAGGGGGATATTGGTGCTGACTCCTCCCCCACTCCTCAGCTTCCATTTTGCTCAGGAAGACCACTCTCCTGAGTGGCAGCAGCATGTAAGGACACAATGGCCCTGCATTCAGGAGGTACTGCCCAACCTTGTGGTGCCTAAGCCTGATGGTTGAGGGCAGAGTGACTAGATTAACAATTGCAGGAGTCAGACACAGACACTGGATTTTTGGAAGTCTCAAACAGATTGCTGAAGGTCAGACAAGGTCAACATCTGACATCATCAGAGACAGACCCAGAAAGAGAAGAAAAGAAACAAAAGACCTGTCTACTACCATAGAAGTTCACCCCCACAAAGTCAGGAAATCAACGTATATCAATTTAAGAAGCAGAAGCTAAAAAGAAGAGTCTCACAAATAATGGGAAAGAAAAGAAACACCCCTCTCAAAAGGGGAGAAAGGAGGAATCCCCACAGAGAGAACGAAATGAAATACAGGTAAGTAAACTATCAGACATTGAATTCAAAACAATAGTTCTAAGGAAGCTCAACGAGCTCAGTGAGCTCAAAGAGAATTATGAAAAACTACAGGGAAACTATGAGGAACTAACTATGAGGAACTTACTGTAAACTATATCAACCTGGAAAAGGACATAAACAATCAATAATACACAAGAGGAAATGAAGAATACCATTTCTGAATCAAAGAACACAATAGAAGGAATCAAAAGTAGGCTAGATGAGCAGAGGATCGAATCAGCCAGCTGGTAGAGGACAAGGTAGAAATAAGCTCCCAGAAAGAGCAACAAATGGGGAAAAAGCAACAAATGGGAAAAAGTCTAACAAAATGTGGTATATTCATATAATGGAGTATTACTAAGACCTAAAAAAGACACAGAAAGAATGAAGAGACATTTAGGGAAAGGCAGGACAACATGAAACATAATAATATCCGCATAATAGAGATACCAGAAGGAGAAGAAGAGGAGGAAGGGATAGAGAACCTGCTTGAAAAGTCATGATGGAAAACTTCCCTAATTGGAGGAGAGAAAAAGTCTCACAAGTCCAGGAAGGACAGGGGGTCCCATTCAAGAGGAACCCAATGAGGCCCACTCCAAAACACATCATCATTAAAATGGCAAATGTCAAAGACAGAGAATCCTAGAGGCAGCAAGGCAGAAAGTAGTAACATATAAGGGAGTCCCGATATGGCTAGCAGCTGACTTCTCAACAGAAACACTACAAGCCAGAAGGGAATGGCAAGAAATATTCCAAGTCATGAAAAGCAAGGGCCTACAACAAAGACTGTTCTACCCAGCAAGGCTCTCAATTAAAACGGAAGGTGAAATAAGGAGTTTCCCAGACAAAAGGAGTCTAAAAAAATACTTCTCCACCAAACCAGCACTACAAGATATGCTAAAGGGACTGGTTTAAAAGGATGAAGAAAAAGAGTGACAAAGAGAAGAATGCAGGTACAAATAGAAAAAATGAATAAGTACCTATCAATAATAACTTTAAATGTAAAAGGACTAAATGCCACAATCAAAAGACACAGGATAGCTGCAAGGATAAGAAAACATGACCCACACATACACTGCCTACAAGAGACCCACCTCAGAACAAACGACCTACACATATTGAAAGTAAAGGGATGGAAAAAAATATGGCAAGCAAATGAACAGGAGAAAAAAAGCAGGGGTAGCAATACTTACAGCAGACAAAGTAGATTTCAAAACAAAAGCCATAAAAAGAGACACAGAAGGACCCTTTATAATACTCAAAGGAAGAATCCATCAAGAAGACATAAACATTGTAAACATATATGCACCCAACATAGGAGCACCCAAATATGTAAGGAAAATCTTGGAGGACTTCATGAAAGATATAGACAGCAACACAGTGATAGCAGGGGATTTTAACACCCCTGCCCTGTCAAAAATGGACAGATCTTCCAAACAGAACATACACAAGGATATTGTGGAATTGAATGATGCATTAGACAAAATGGACCCAACTGACATATATAGAACCTTTCATCCCAAAGAGGCAAAATACATTCTTTTCAAATGTGCATGAAACTTTTTCAAAGATAGACCACATGATAGGACACAAAACAAGCCTCAACAAATTCAGGAAAATTGAAATCATAACAAGCATTTTCTAGGACCACAAGGGGTTGAAACCGGAAACCAATCTCCAGGAAAATCCTTAAAAACTTTGAAACTCATGGAGACTGAATAGCACACTATTAAACAATGAATTGGTCAATAATGAGATAAGAGAAGAAATCAAAAAGTTTCTGGAAACAAATGAAAATGAACACACAAAAGTCCAAACCTATCGGGCACAGAAAAGGCTGTCCTTAGAGAGAAGTTCATAGCAACATAAGCCTACCTAAAAAAGAGAGACATTTCAAATAAATGATCTAATCCTACAACTTCAAGAATGGAAAACAACAACAAACAAATCCCAGAGTGAGTAGAAGGAAGGAAATAATCAAGATCAGAGCAGAACTGATTGACGTAGAGACTAAAAGAACAATTCAAAGGATCAACCAATCCAGGAGCTGGTGCTTTGAAAAGATAAACACAATTGACAAGCCTTTAAGCAGACTCATCAAGAAAAAAATGGAGAGAACCCAAATAAAAAATATCAGAAATGAAAGAGGAGAAATAGCAACTGATACTACAGAAATACAAAGGATGTAAGACATTATGATGAGCAATTATATGCCAAGAAATTTGAAAATCTTAATGAAATAGACAAATTTCAATAAAAGTATAACCTTCCAACACTGAATGAAGAAGAAGTAGAAAGCCTGAACAGACCAATAACAGCTGGGGAAATTGAGGCAGTAATAAAAAATCTTGGGGCACACAAAAGCCCTGTACCGGACAGTTTCACAGGCGAATTTTACAAAACATTTAAGGAAGAGATAACTCTTGTTCTTCTCAGGCTATTCCAAAAAATCAATATGAGGGAAGACTCCAAAACTCTTTTTATCAGGCCAGCATCATCCTAATCCCAAAACCAGATAAAGACACAACAAAGAAAGAAAACTACAGGCCAATGTTGCTGATGATCTTAGACCCTAAAATCCTCAACAAAAATATTCACAAACCACATCCAGCAATACATTAAAAGGATCATCCATCATGAGAAAGTGGGCTTCATCCCAGGGATGCAAGGATGG